CTCTGCAGGATCTTTAAGGGAGAGAAACAAGATAAGAACTTGTGATTGAGGTTAAGTGTTTTTTTATAGACAAAGATCAATAAGATATGCAAACAGTGTTGCCGTCGAGTCCTCAGTGATTGTTGACTCCAACAACATAGTTTCAAGTCAAAGTTTGAGGCACATGTGAAAAGTTGATTTCCCGTCCGGTACGGTTTCAAGTTAAGTCATTAATGATAAATTCACTGTTTATCCAAAATCAGGTCCCAGTTCTGATTTTTAAGTTCAAGTTTTAAGGTTACAGATAAAATTAAATTGTAAAAATTAGACTTAAATCCCAGGGTTTCAAGTCAAACACTAAAGGTAAAAGGCAAATAAATAGAGTCCAAGTCAAGCCCACAATCTCTCAAGTCTGAGTTAAGATATCTGGGTTTTAGATCCAGTCCAAGTGAAGTTAAGTCTTTGCCAGAACCCCAGGGTTTTAATTTAATCTGGTTCTCATTAAAAAATCATTAAACCAAGTCAAAATCCTATGAAGTCACCAGGGTTTGAAGTCTGAGTCTAAAAAACTGGGGGGGAAAAGGAGAGTTATTACTGCTTAAGTCTATTCCTGCCTTAAAAACAACTCTTCACATACAAGTTGTACCAAACTTATAGTACTACATCAAACTGATAAACATATTTTGAGTGACACATGCGAAAACACAATAATGTTTTTTTATGGTCAGTAAATAATAAAAAAAAAAACTGCGTTTTGTTAAAAGAAAGAGTTTTGTGTATTTTTGATTACATTATCTCTACAGCTCTCAGACATGTACTGATTACTCCTCCAGGAAGAACACATATCAAACATTAACCTGAGCATGCTCCCATCACTCAGCCGTCTCACGCTGGGACACTGTCTTCCACCACTGCCATGGGCTTTCAAAGGAGACATGGAGGTTCAAGGGGCAGAGAGTGGTGCAGACAACACGTGTATCCTCCACCACCATAAATACATGAGACGAGGACCTGCACAACAGAAGACACACCTCTGTTAATAGTCTAAAGTCACTGGGTTGGAGGTAAATAGTAGAAATAAACAAGGACTTTCTGACATATGTTTATTCTAATTTGAGGTTTATCTTCAGCGCTCACACGTAGCTTAGCAGACAGGGTTCTGGGCGAGATCATGTGATGACATAATAACTGTGGTTGTACAGTGTTTCCCACCAGCGAATCCCATGTCGTCGTTTTACTATCTTCATCTCCATGGGCCCATTAACCCTTTTCCTGTGCTTATCGCTGCAGACGCTAAACGTCTACGTAGAGGTCATTGAGCAATACGCTTCTGTTTACATCAGGTCACATTCACAGCGATGCACGCTGCATGTTTTTCTGTTTTCGTGAACCTGTTTAATCTTATCAGTGCGGTTCCATCACAGACCTTTTCCCTAGACTATTTCAAGTACTTTCAAGGTCCACATTAAAGCTTTACCAGCCCTGCACAGCTCAGAAGACATTTCAAGTGTTTTCTTCCACTAATTTCAGCCTTATTCAGTTGAACCGCTGTATGTCTGAATTAACAGACACTGTCATAACAAGTAATATACAAAAGTATTTTATCATTTTTAAATTAACGAATGAATCATTTTTACCCTTAATTAACCTGCTATGTTAGGTTACCCTAAAGCTAAAACCTGTTAACTAATTAATACTAAGACCATTTTTTGGTTACAGTTCTTGACAATTTGGAATCTCGAGAACCTAACCAAATATCAAGTTCTTTATGAATGGTAAACATTTTTAAGTATATATACATATATTTACATACATAAAAACATGACATATATAGAAATAAATATATAGTATATGAAAAATACTAAATATAACTAGAACATAACCCTAATCATAAAAATGCAAACTTATATAAATAACTTTTTTATTAATTAAATTGATTGGCTGACCGTTGATGTGAATGTGAGCGTGATTGGTGGTTTGTTTCTATTGGACAGCTCAGGCTGACCCTCAGTCTAACTCTGTGATTGACTCCTGCCTCCTAGTAGCACAAACAAGAACCGTAGAAGACGCGTGAATGTTACATAAAACTGCTGCACTTTTATTTGACTGTATGTGTATGTTCCTATCTTTTCCCTCCTGACTCAGCGCCTAATGTTCTCTCGTAACCAAAGATACTGTACGTGAGACAGTACACAGTAATAAAATATTACAGGGAAAGACCTTGACAACCTCACCACATACCTTATGGCTTACGACTATTAAGTGGAAAGTGTGTACTTGGCACATGTTTTTTTTTTTCACTTTAACGTAAAACTGAATTAACCAATCATTGGTTTTCGTTTGTTATTTTTCAGGATCTTTTGGAATCCTTTAAAGTGGCCGTCCCTTTGCTATTCCTCGGCTTTTCCGGTAGCCCCGTCTATCTACCGTACTTATTTGCTTATTTGTTCAACTTTACCTGTTTGTAGTGGCAGCTATATGGCGGCGTTTTGGGTTGCATGACGGGATGTGTGACGTCATCTCCGGAAGCTATATACTGTTATAGGCAGTAGTCTACAGTGTTTTTCGAAGTGGGGACCGCAAGAAGAGGTCAGAAAATCGAATGGAAGATACAAAAAAAAATTGTATTTGTTAAATTCTCAACTTTCCGATATCTGGACATATGACATCATATGACAGTAACTACTTCGCCGTTATAATCTGCGTTGAAGAAAAGGTGGCACAATGCCACCTGCAGGTGAAGACAATACTTGAAGACTTTAAATTTAAAACAATTCTTACCTTGCCAACAGCTTGTATCATATTCCAAAGAAAGCGATAACTGTAGAGTTGGTTTTAAAAACCTTTGACTTGAATTGAATGTCGTACGTTCAGGTTTCTGGAAAACATGTGCAGGAGAACATTATTGTGCTTAAATTGTGAATTTAATGTTCTAACTTCACTGTGGTTTTTGTTGACTTTCTACATTACACTTGGGGGACAAAACGTGCTGGTATAAAAGTAAAATGTGTTAAACCAATACAAAATGTTCAAAATCATTATCAAAAACATTTTATTCAAGAGTCAATGCCTCAACAGAAGTGATGCTCTGATGACTTTCTCAATGAAAAACAATTAATCTGCAGAGCTAAAAGCAGCTTCATAATTATATTCATGTAATGTACAGACAATGATCGGAGGGAAAACAGCATTTGTGTGTCATCTTCTATGAACAACCATCTCACAGAAGACGTTTCCTAACAGTCAAAAAAAGACAGGTAACATTCACCGAAGCCAAGGGCATGAGACAGACATTTCATTTACTTCTTTAAGAGCCATCAATCTAGATTTCAAAGTTCTAAGGACATAATTTTTAATTAAAATTAAAAAATACAATTCGCTTTTGGTTGTTTATAATCTGTCTCCTCATACAGAGATTCTGTCTTCAAAAGGATTTAAAACAAGAAAATATATTTTACAATTAAAACAAAAGGAAACAAGTGTGTGTTGTGTCCATTAATGGAAGCCATGTCTGTGTTCAGGGCTGACGACGACAACGATGACGATTGTGTTGAAGTAAAGGATGATGGCCTAGCTATGGTACCGTAGTACAGAACCAGGCTATGGGAGCTCAACAGGCATGATGGGAGCTGGGGAACAGGGGGCAGCCAGGGGGCTGTGGTCGGTCAAGGGGCTGGAGATCTGAGGCTGAGACGGGTGGACGAACATCAGTACAGTGCGTCAGCGTTACTGCTTCGAGGCCTCTTGATCTTCTCAATGTTCTTCAGGATCATGTCGTGTAACGTTACCTTTACAAGAAAAAAAAAATCATGAGTAAATCAAAATGCATGAAAACAATAGTTAACATATTGTATTTTTAAAGGAGCATACATATTGGTTTCTGAGCTCTGAAACTATAATCTTCAGGCTGATGTATTCCTTCTCATCAATCTCTGTTACTGTGCGTCGGTAATCCTCCTAAACATGGAAAGAAAAAGTTACCTTAAATTAATAGAACAATTCTGCAGGGATTTACACAGGATCATTACAGTTCAGACTAAGCTGAATTAAGCACAGTTCGTGCCAACAGAGGGCGCTGCTTCTTTACATGCAGCACTGGATTGTGCAAGCAAGACATTTTGTTTAGGAAGGAGAGCTCACAGATCACAAAGCATTAGCAAGGATCAGAGCATCTGAATGCGCAGACAAAGGTTAAACCAACTCTGACCATTGATGCACTTACCACATGTGGATATTTTGCTATTTTGGAAACCAGCTTTGCCCTTGTGATGTAGTATCTAGAAAAAAACAGTCAGAAAATATTGACTATGAAAAAGATTTGTTATCTGACAGACACACAGTAGGTCAATGTAGGGTTCTGAACTTAGCAACAGTTGATATGGCATACGTGTGAGAATAACATCATTTCTACAGACCTCGATATTTGGTCAAGATAAGATGCTGCTTCTCCTTCAACTGTCCTGAGTTCAGCGACTGTCTCTTCCTGGATCGACACACCAAAGTTGTTTCCATCCTCTATCCTTGGAATGAGCAGCTGAACCCACATTTTGACCTTTTGGATAGAAGAAACTGAACTCTAACATCTGAAGTGAACTGACATTGTAGTGAAAAATAACTTTAAAAACAGTGACATCTAAAAATCTGGGACAAGGGAAACCAATAATTAAATGCCAAGGAATTAAAAAAGTGTTTTTTATGGGACAAGTATGTTGTTTTCAGTTCACTTTTCAGTGGGACATCACTGAAGTTAACATTTATGCAGAAGCTTAGACTTCGGTTATGGTCAACTTACTGTGTTACATTTCTCTATGAGTGTCCTAATCTCTGGCTTGACCCTTTCAATCAGCTCAACAAGGTTTGCGTTGCTCTTCATCATCCCACCAGGCATGACAAAGACTTTAGTTCCGGTCACTGAAAACAAAGAGGTTAAATGAACATGTTTCACTTTCATTTTCTTTTCTTAGTTCAAGATGATAGCAAATTTAAAGTCTACAATATCAGCCTACATAAAACTGAGTTCTGTGATCTTAAGAATTCTATTGCTTGTTGTGTTTATCATCATTTAATAACCTTCTTATATTATACTCACCCGTGTCCTCCCCACTTCCATCCTCCATCTTCCTCTTTTTGGCATTTTGCTAAATATTAGAATAAAAAATCTGATAAAAATCAGCACAATAGGAAATAAAGAGTTATTAAAAATAAGAAACGAAGGCTTACTCCTTCTAATCCGTCGTGCAGGTTTGACAACAGGATTGGGTCTGGAACAGTCAGATTTATCTCTGAGTGGATCTCCTTCAGTTCTTTGATGTTTATGACGGGCTCCTAATAAGGACAAGAAAAATAAGATATATGTGCAAAATAATGAGTGTTTAGTTTTTCTTAAAGTTTTTCCAAAATAAAACTTGAACTTTTATTAATTAAGCAAATATTATGCTTAGTTTTCCAGAATGTACAAATATATGACTGTTATCATTTTGACGTTGGAGTTTTAAGAGTCTTTTGTAAAAGTCATTGAGGCAAAAAAAAAAAAAAAAAAAAAAATCAGAGATGTTTTTATTTATGCATCGTTTTATGGATGTTTTTCTGCATGCAAAGTACAATTTCTTTATTAAGCATTTATTCACCTTTAGAAACTGATCAAGTTCCAGTAATTTCTTTGGGAAAAAATTAGCAACTAAATCCTCTGCCTGTGAGAAATGAGAAAAATGTTAGCCAGAACTACAACAGGAATAAACTGCTTCAACAGAACTGTATCATTGTGCAGTTATATTGCCTTTAAATAAAATACTTACTTCTGCAGTGATACGTTCCCTGAATGCATCAACCTGCAAATCAATCGCAAAAACAGATTTTGGATGTATACGATCATTACACAGAGAAGTCAACAAATAATAAGTGTTAGTAAATTGATTTCCAAAAGGATAAGATTGGACTGCGTTTCCTTTCTTAACTTTTAGATATCTAGACAATTTAATTGCTATTATATTTTCACATTAAACATATATACATTGAATGGTTGGCCGTTTTGATGTTGAGATGTGTGTCGTACGTATTGACTACGTCCAGATTGAGGTAACAGTAAGAGTATTTGGTGACAATACCAATCCAAATATATAAATGACAAATGTATACGGTTATAATGCGCAGACAAAACCAATTAGATGCGGTCAAATGAAGAACAGTAACTTGACGCCGGTACCCTGTTAGGCCTGCGCTCTGAGCATGCGCCTAACATGAACGAAAACATCATGTTAACATACACTACCGTGATGTAAACATTCCTTAGGTACACAGCAATGCTCGTGGTTAGTGTGACAGAGAACGTGATGTTAGATGTTACCGATAAAGGGATGCAGGCGGGAAACCGGCCGGTTAGCAGCATTTAGCATCATACATCATGCTACTAATTGTGGCTAACATTTACAAACCAATGAGTGAAAATAAAAGGCGACTTAATGGGATACTATGGCCTCTGTGATCGAGATCTTACCTTGGTTTTAATTTCATTGTCCACCTTGAGAAGTGAAGACATCGTATGTATTCAAAGAGGAAAAGAACGATCGTGCTAACATGAAATTCTGTTCTGAACGTGTGGCTTGATACTTGTCAGCCACACTTGTGTGAGCTCAATGATGACGACACTAAGACGCGACGTGACGCGGAGTTTTCAATTCGCATGTGCGTGTCTTGAAATGTAAAAACCCATATTGCTGACAGCTTGGTCCTCCCGCAGTTCAAAACTCTCATCTGCGCCCGTGATAGTAGCACAATTTATAAAGGTTGAGACGTAAACTATTTTCAATCTTATCATTATTTAATAATATTTTTAAATATGTTTTTCATCAAAATATATCTATTTATCTACAATTACTACTAAAATTGCTTTATTTTCATAGCTCAATTCGAACAAACTCTATTTACAATATTTTATTTTTCACATATCACATTTTTTATTAAAACATCACCAAAGTATTATTATTAATGTTGTTGTTGTTATTATTATCAGAATCTACTTCTGACTTGTTATTTAATACATTTAATTAATATTAAATAAACTTTGTCACCTAAATAAAATGTTTTCTTTAATTAATGAATTAATTCTGAGATAGAAACGTTGTATTTAATTTGGGATTACATTTGTACTGTCGGAGAAATACATAAATAAAATAACATTTCGCGAATTTACATTTTCATTTGACTTCTAAGTAGGCAGTTGGATGACATCTTTCCACAGTTAATACAGAAAAGGTCAACCTTGTTTCAACCTGGTCCTCTTTGGTGAAGTAAGCAGATCGGCAGAATGATCGGTAATTATGTTTAAAAAGATACATTTTTTTAAATTGTTGTAGTAGATACGGTCGTAGATAATTTTACAGAGGACATGACTACTTATTTTTGTTATAATAACACAACTATGCACTCCGCTCCAATAGGTGGCAGTAAAGCCCCAATAAACTAGTTTATCAACGTCTATTGTTCAAGGAAGTAGGACAATCGACGTCACCGTATTTTTCTAGACGCAGCTGACGATGTAAACAAGAGAAGATTGTCGAGGGCAACGGGGATCAAATAGTCTGGAATCAACTCAGATGATCACCATTATCTGCTCCTAAGCGGCCGACATGGGGCTTCCTGTTACTATCAAAGTCAATTTCCGGGGAAACGTGAAGAGATTTCTGGCCCAGGATTTGGACAAACTGGAATGGGAATCGGTGGAAGCTTGGGTAAGAACTATAGCTGGCGCAGTTTGGAGACAAGCAGGCCGCGGACATGGCCTAGACACGTAAACAATGGTTCACCTGAAGGACACACGGTTTTGGTGCGATCAAACCTGAACCTTAACATTTATTTTATTTAAACATGCTCAGACGATCACAAGTAACGTGAGACAGACGGCTTTAAATGTCCGTCCGAACCATATTCAGGAAACAGCCATTGGACAGAATAGCGTTATTGATCATTTAAGAACTACTAATGTTTTATTATTACATTTCAGATTAAAGCGTCTTTTGGAATCAATCACTTTCAAGTCAAGTACTTTGATGAGGATAATGAAGAGGTAGGATCGTATGCATGCAGTACTCTTTTATTATCGGTCTCTTCTCTGTAATAACATTTGCAGTGTCGGACCTGTTTCTTGAACCTTTTAAAAAAATCTTTTTTTACTCTTCTTTACAGATTTGCATAAACAGTCAAGGTGAGGTTGTTTCGTCCGTTAAAACCGAATAAACTAAATAAACCACATGTAAATGTTGGTTAAAAACCCATAGCATTTATACAATAGTGTGGCAGCAACCGTTCATTTAAATGTTTTTTTTGCTGTTATTTCAGTCTCTTTGCTGGATTTATCATTTTTCCCATTTCATTGAAATGAATTTAATACCAAAGTTTTTGGTATTAATTGTTTAACTCTATAATTTCCATGTAATTTTTTCAACAGTACTGTATATGAAAAATATTTGTGTTTAGTGAATATCTTATATTTTTGCAGATCAATCTTTAAATCCTTAATATATTTTAATATATTGTAATAGAAAATATAATAATATTTGAACAATAATAAAAAAACAAAATAACCCATTGTCCTTTTTGTTTCAGATGAGTATGAAGAGGCCATTAAGGTACTATTTTGCAACAAAATCTACACTATACACGATACACATTTTCAACTTTGTCTCTTTGTACAGACTGTAACAGAAGTAAACAGAGGTCAAATACAAACTTGGCTTTTTAAAAAACAGAATGTACCAGTCACAAGGAATATATTACGTTTCTGTGTGTCACCAGTGAGTCAGATGTGAGTCACTGTCGAGATTTTCAAACTAATAGGGAGCAGTTCAACAAAAACCTATTCATATGTTAATAATTTAAAGTAAATTCAGTTTTATGAGTGTGTGTAACAATAATAATGTATTAATAGCTTATTATGAAGCTGGCAGTAGGTAACTACTAATAGAAAATAAGTGAATTGTATGGCAGTAAAGACTAACATGACAGAAATGAATGAACTTAAGTTGTTATCAGTCAGAAGTGGAGGTATTTATGGCCTGTTTGTACCTTTTACATAGACATATCCTTAAAAAGTCATAAAATGTTTTTATATTCAAAAAGTTAATATGTTTTCATCACATCAAAACAGTTTTGTCATTACCTCAAATAATTCTGATGAATTGTCTCACTTTTAAGTTAACAAGTTAAAGTGGAGTCACCAGTCCACACCCTGAACACATGTACTCTCACTGTTTGTCACATGTTGTTTGTATTTGTCAACGTCTTTAAGTATTTATGTTTTTGAATTCAGAGCGCAGAGAAGCAGGGAAACCAGTTGCACATGAATGTGTACAAGATGAAGGGACAGGCCTGCGGAGGCCCACTGAAGACGGAGGTGAAGGAGCTGAAAGGAGACCTGCGGCCTGCTCCTCCTTACCCCTCCAGGGTCAAGACTGTGGACAAGGGCACACAGGTCACCCCAGAACGAGAGGCTGTGAGGGCACATATGTTTTCAGTTGTTGGCCTTAAACATAACATTTGTGTTGAAAGATTTTTTTAAAGGTAATTTTAATTTTACTGCTGTTTAAGCAGGTGACTGTGAAGGAGAAGGGAAGCAAATCTGAAGATGAGCCTCCTCCTATGTGGTTCAGATCATACATGGAAAAGGTGAAGTATGACCTGAGATGTGTGCAACATTGTTATGTGCCTTTTTTAAACGTCTTTCTTTTTTTCATAGTTTAAAGATGAGGTGGTGAAAGAGGTGGTTGAACGGATGTGCAGTGACTTCTCTGGTCAGTGCTGTACCCACAAATCCTCAGATGGGCCACTTGAAGACAGTGGGGCCAGTGGTGGACCTGTAGGACCCAGGCCTGGCCCTTCCACCTCGAATGGGTCCCTGGGCTACACACCAAACTGCAGCAGCTGCAACAAACTCACCTCTGAGGGGGCGTACAAGTGCAGGTAAGCAGGACAAAGTATTTATATTATTGTTTTTGAGTATGATGGTCAAAAGGTGTTTATGGTTTTAAACATTTTAATTTTAGGAATTAATTAATGATGGTGTCTGACAAAATGAATCATTGTGATTCACCAAGTGAGGGCAGCAATGTCCTGTCACTTCTTTACTTTTTTGGATTTTTCCGACCTTTGTACCCTAATGATTCTGAGAAAGCGAGAGACAGCAGGTCACATATCAACAAAAACAGTTTGTTTTCTTTCCCACTCCCACATGCAGCGTGTGTCCATCCTGCATCCTGTGTGAGATGTGTCGACACAGCCATGACCCCAGCCACAACCTTGTGAGAACCAAGACACCTCTTTCCATCCCTGAGCATGGAATGTCGGGAGAGTTGAGGTAATCAGCCACCAAGACTGAGCATGAATTTGACCCACTTCTAGAAACAGTCAGATAGTTCACAAGAATAGATGAGAAAAAAAGAAAAAAACTGCAAAATGTTCTAGCTGCTAGATTTCTGTCTCCAGGAATTATAGTTAGAGTGATTGTTTTCTGTTCTTGGAAAATTCAGCTTTTGATGGTCAACAAATAGGTGTTCCTGATGACATTTCAAACTAGGTTTCCACGGCGAGGAGACAGGACGGTGCGCAAGGCCGAGCGACAACGCCTCAAAGCAGAAAGGCGGCAGCTCAGAGCTGAGGTAAAGGAAATCAAGAAGAAACTGAGACTGGAAAAGAGGGGGCTGCAGTGGAGCGGCCCCTCTACCTCAGGCAGAGCCAACCTGACAAACATGGCCTCGGCATCCACCCAGGTCCCAGCTCTGCTACCACGCGCTGACTCAGAAACAGCCTCAGGTCCAGCAACAGCACACGGTCCAATCCCTGCCCCGGTCCCTGATCCCCAGGCCTCCAGTCCAGAGTAAGCGCCACCTCTGGAGGGCGTCCGCCAGTGCTGGGTGCCTAAAACCCAGCATGGATGCAAAAAATCTTTTTTCCAAGAAAAGAAATCAAAATATGCCATCTTTGTAATCTAGTCTGTATAAGTGTTTCGCTGGCTGCTCTGGGGTGGTGGAAAATGTTGGAACTACCTCAATGTGAAAACTGCTGCTGCTGCTTCATAGATTTTCTAAGAAAAATGTTTTTGAGCTGCAAAAAAAAATCTGGGGTCCTGCCTTTTTGATTCGTAGAGAACAAAAGAGATGCGTATTATAAGAAACCAGGGCTTTTTTCAACAATGCTCTGTACACTTGAAACTAGGGATCCCGAGGTCTCGCCCTCGTCCTTGGTGCCCACAATGGCTGCCTTGTTTCTGGATGAAAATCTGCCTGACGGCACCCGTCTGGAGCCTGGTACCAAGTTCATCAAATACTGGAAGATGAGGAACTCAGGCACAATCAGCTGGACCTCAGAGACTAAGGTATCGCTCCTACCCACCGAGAGGACAGGCCTCACTCTCTCTCTGCCTCCCTGCTTCACCTTCAACACCAGCTCCCACTCAGCTCTTTGCTTCTTCTTTTCTACTAATACTTCTTCAGTTTCTCACTCCGCTAATTCTCCTTCTGTCTGAGATGAGTATGATTGAGTCATGTTTATGGATTGTGTTTTTTAGTCTGTTTTGGTTCAGTCTGTGTGGTTTTGTGTATTCTGTTGTGTGACTTCAGCTGCATGCTCCTGTCTTTGTGCCTTTTCGCATGTGTATCTCTATTTTTTTTGTTTATGTGTGCGTACAACCAGCTAATGTTCATGTGGGGAAACCTTGGACTGGCATCGGAGAAGAAGCGGGAGGTGCCGGTCCCCCTGCTGCTCCCTGGACAAGTAGGAGTGGTCAGTGTGGCCTTTGTCGCGCCCATGATGGAGGGGACCTACACCTCCCACTGGCGGCTGGCGCACTGCGGCTGCCAGTTTGGCCCACGTGTGTGGTGCAGCATTGTGGTCGACCCCTGCAACAACCGCAACGCCCTCGGAACTCAGAGGAAAAGACTGGCAAGTCTAACCAATGAGAACTTAGCTTTGTCCCAATTAAGGGCCTGCATCCGGCATAGTGTGTTCACACTGTACAATCTACACAGCTGCATGGGCAACAGTTAATGGGTTAAGCAGTTATGACTTCGTAAAAAAGATGCTAATATCTCAAAAAGTACAGCTGCTACTTACAACTGATGACAGGATTCAGTCTCCCTTGAGTTACCAAGAGGTAATAAGAAGCAATCACATCCAGTGGTGTTCCTGTAGCTACAACAGGGGCATTAGACTGGGAGTCCCAAGTCCAAATGTCTGCTAGTGTAAACCACGCCCGTCACGCTATCAAAAGTTATTAAACTTTTGATAGCGTAGATAGGAAGTCTGTCAAAGTAAGCACTAAAGCCAGATGGCCAGTTAGGTCGACCTCAGAGGGATCAGGATGAGATCAGCAGAACCACACCAGGTCATGTCAGTCTAGGCACAAGTGCAGCCACCGACCCCTGAATTGGGACACAGCCTCTTCACAACTCACAGTGTACGTTCTTAGTACACACTCATTGTGAAAATTGTGTTCCAATGTGTCCTAGAAAGCAGTGACGATTGTTACAGTTTGTATTTAAATGTGTTTTTGTTTAAAATTCATCAACTTAAACTCAAGGAAACAATAAAGGTCACGTTAGTTGTGCTGCCTTTTTAAATCCTAAATGTTAAACTTTGAAAAACACTGATACACTTAAACACCTCCTAAAGACCCACATCTGAAATAACTGTTTCTCTCAGACAAAAATGATTAAGATTAAAGTTGGCGTTTATATTTGCATTAGGATTTTTAGGGAAATAATATAAAAAGTAAATTTGTTGAAAGTTGTGGAACCTGCGACATTTATGTTAGGAGTTGTTTTTGACGTAGCACTCATGATAAAGATGCCGTTCTTGTCCGTGTCTCAGAAGGACGAGGTGAGGCTGGTGGAGAAGGAGAGGGAGCTCAGGACTATAGATGTCAACCATGATGACTACTACTTCCCCTCAGTCGACCTGCTGACCGCACAGGTGACACTTGGAGCTGAATCACACTGGAAACACGTCCTCTGTGCTGCTCAGACTTCAACCGACAGTCGAAGGGAGAAGACTGACTCTCAGTTTATCTGTGTCTTTTAGGATCTGCTCTCGTTTGAGTTGTTGGACATAAATATAGTGCAGGAGCTGGAGAAGGTGCCGAACAACACTCCTGTTGGTGAGACAAACATTATTGTTATCACTGATTAGTGTCTTCCTTCATTCTAAAGACTTGTGATGACATTTTTGTTTGTTCTGACCGTTTTGTTTTGTTCGCAGATTTGACCCCTTGTATTTCTCCTCTGCCTCATGATCCACCTGTATGGGAGAAGACCATAACTTTGTCAATCAGAGAAGACAAAGAGTTCACAGGTGAGGGCTGGAAAACCCCCAGACATGGATGTGGGAATTTCTGTGCATTTGGCCATCACTTGAACTGCTGTTTGGAAAGTGTCATGTTTCACCACGCGATGCTAACACATCTCTGTGTAACTCAGTGCTCTGTACTCGGTGAATGATGACTCCCTTAGTCACATCTGAAAACGTTTGTTCTAAGTCTCTTACTACAGAGGTAGTCTACAGTTTGATGTATGCTGTTTTTAAATGTGCGTAGCAGGCGTAGCAGTTTTAACAATCATTCTTTGTGTTGCTGTTCATGGACCAGGTGATAAAGTGGGGCAGCAGAAGGACTGTTTGGAGCCAGCACTTATGGAGGAAGACAAAGAAGAGGAGATCAGTGGAGCTCAGTTCCTGTTTGAGACAGTCATCCGCTCCCTCACCTTAGAGGAAGCCCCCGACCACAGACCACCACGCAGAGGTCATCCTAACCATCAGAAGCCTATGAGTAAATACACCTCAGTCACTTTCTCTACAAAGTAGTTTCTTTTAATTGAGCAGTTCTTGATAGTTTTGTTAACAAGTTTCAGTCCAAGTCAGAGGCAAAGTTATTGAAAGATGCAAATTATTTTTTTAAAGTCAAAGGCTGGGGTGAAAAAAAAAAGTTGATTTTGTGAATGAAAATCTTCTCTATACTGTCTTTAATCTCTGGTGCTTATTAATGCATTGGAAATGTACGCTTAATCAACTAGGTCTTAATCAATGCATCGACAAACCTATGCGCCATATTGTTGTTGCTTTTGTAATTGTTGTCTTTTTTCTTGTGTAAAACTGTTCAGTTATTTCTCGGGGGCCAAGCATTTGCATTGAGAAAGAAGTGCAGTCAAAGAAGGGTGACGTGGAGGAGATTTGTGCTGTCAGACTGGAGAGTTCAGCTCTGCCTCCAAACACTGGCTTCAACCAGCTGAGCCCAGACGAGCAGAACAGACAAGGTCAGAGAAGGACGTTCACACTTCTGTGTGATGTTTCAACTTTCTCAGAGCTGGATGGTTCTAGAACAGGACAAAACCTGCAACGTTTTGTCCTGTTCTAGAACCATCCACTGAAGAACTTCACGCCATTTTAGATCACGATAAGATGGATGAAGACGGTGCGCCGTTGGACGACATGAAGGTCACTCAAGATGAGAAGCAGGAGGAGGGTGAGGAGGGTGGAGCCAGGGGAGAAGACTGGGATGAGGTGAGGAAGAAATAGATTTTAGTTGTTGATCACAGGCTTAGGTTTGTATGTCGTTGTCAATCTGGTGTACATGTCATGAACAGATGTTAGTGTACAGTTTTCATGCCTCTGCTGTGCTTCAGGTTTGCAGCCAAACCTCCTCGGCATCTTCCTGCGATGACTACATCATCGTCCTCCCAGACTGCTTTGACACCAGTCGTCCTCTGGGGGAGTCCATGTACAGCTCGGCCATGTCTCAGCCTGACATCACGGCATCTGCAGGTGCAGCAGTGACCTCGACCAATCCTGACATACAGGAGGAGACAGAAGATGACCGTGACTCTGAGTCAGCTGGGACAGCACTGCTAAAAGACAGACCCGAGAGAACAGAAGTGGTCTCAGCTGAAGACTCGGCACCCCCACCTGTCCTTCCCATTCACAGCAGTGTCAACCAGATGCTGTTTGCATCTCAGACTCTGGATGCTGTGACGCTCACTCCTGAAGTGGTGTCACCTCCTATTTTGCCTGACCCAGTGGTATCTCCACCAACTCTCTACTCACCCAGGTTAGAAGGAGCTGGTGATCTGTTCGGCCCAAAACTAAAAAAAAAAAATCGTTTATATTTCTAAGTTTATACTTATTGCATATTACAATAGGTAAATAAGGTAACATTTTGGCATTTTGAATCATTTTAGAACACTTCTTATAAGTCTGTGCTAAGTCTCAATTAGAATTCTTTTTATTCTTTAAAACACCCTAATGTATCCATCTTTTTTTCAGCATAATTCTTGGCTATTTTACTTACTGTCTTTGAGCTGTTTGTGCTAAATGTTTGGGTGACTCTTAGCTCTAGATAAGGATTTGGGTTATCTAATAGGTAAACACGTGTTTGGTTGGTTTTGGTTAATATATAAACATTTTAAAGCTCACCCATTCCAACCCTATAGATACTAATTTGTAGCGTTATCAACCCAACTCCTGGCACTTAGTTTTGGGCATTTTTTTTGTAATTGTAATAGACCAACATTTCCATGCTCTTGACATCCAATAATATTTTTAAGTATCATTATTGGCATCAAGCAGCCTCCTGTACAGTTTTTAATCATAATCTTTTTTTTTTTTTTTGTTTCAAGGTCTGAGGCACTGTACCTGGCTGAGGACCCCAGTCCCCCAGTCTGTGAACCATGTGAGCCACATCAACCAAGGGTCCACCTCAACTGTGAGCGAAAGGACTAGCTGTTCTTTGTTTTCCTTTACAAAAAAGGAAGTTCTCTTGGGAGTTGTTGCTTAAGCACATGTTCTAATATTATACTTTGTGCGTGTGTGTGTGTGTGTGTGTGTGTTTGTGTGTCATTATTTCCTTATCTGTTCTGCAGTGTCATCTGGTCTGTCGAGATCAGCAGGCTCAGCATCCAGTGCCTTTGAGACATACAACCCCAGACCCAGCAACGCTCTGCAGCCAAGGTGAAGAAGAAAACTCAGTTAAAAAACAACAGTTAATATGAAAGATCTTTTTGTAAAACTGCTACATAGAGTTAGAGTTGACATGAATTTAATGACATGAACATTTATTTTACCGCAACAACCAGGCCAACAGGAACACACTGTCCCTCGTCATAATGTTACATAATCTTTAACCTCACGTCTGTCTCTGTTCCAGGGGCCAAGGGGGCATCACTGAGGGACTTGTTAAGGGGGCTCTTTCTGTGGCAGCATCTGCCTACAAGGCTCTGTTCACTGGACCAAACTGTACAATACAGGTACACAATGCTGCAGCACCTTTTTACATATTTCCAGATATTTAAAAGAAATCATTTTAAATATTAAAGAGCTCTCTATTCACATTTTTTCTTAAATGTCATTTTGTTTTTGTTAATAAATTGATTCTGGTCCCTTCCAGTGTCAGGTTAAAAAATCTAAGCAATAACTGTTGAATAAACATTTAAAAACAGACGACGATGTGACAGCCTGGTGACATGTATCTCTCTTCTCTTTTATTTATTCTCTTCACACTGTGCTGCTACTCCCTGCCCCCTGCAGCGAGGCATCGACCCAGCCACCAGACAGGACCCTTCTATGATGGCCATGTTGCTAGAGATGGGCTTTAAAAACCAGCGGCTGAACCAGAGGCTGCTGAGGAAGCACAGCTACAGCCTGCTGCACACGGTCAACGAGCTGGTGCAGATGGCCGAGGAAGAGCAGAACGCAGCCGTAGATGCTCTGGACTGAAGGGAGGGGGAAGTACTAACAAAGCTTTTTGTTTTTAAAGAAAAGATATAATCAGAGAAAATTGTTTTACCTCTGACGTGATGTAAACAAAAAAACTCCAAATGGCTCGTACTTTTTCAGTATGTTTATCTGACTTTAGATATTCAAAGAACAGGCTGATAAAACATGTTTATGATGTCTTTTATGAATCTGACTGATCTGGGGGGGGATTGGACTCACCATTTGAAACAAAGAAAAAAATCACTTAAAAAACGTGACTGGTGTGGAAACAATTACTGTGGAAACATTCTCACCTCATGTTATAAAATCAGTGGAAGCCAGTTTAAAAAAAAAACGTTTTACAAAAACTTTCAGAAGGAAAAATAATAATTAGAATAGTAGAAAAGAAGCTTGTAGAAGCTAGAGTGGTTTTTATCACAGCCTCTTGTATATTTTTGACTGTCTATGAAGACGGTCGATTTCCAACTGCAGAATTCCATAACCTTTTGTTGATGCTTGTGTTCAGTCAGCAGGGTTGTGAGCTGGTTGAACAGGTACTGACATGTTGGTTAAAATGTCCCTTTTCTTTGACTAAATCTTTGGTCCCAGATGGATGTTATCGTCCTGGTCTCAGTGATGTGTGGGGGGGTGTTTACATTGGCCTTGTGAGGAAAAAAGCACTTCTGTCTTGCAAACCTAGCTTGTTAACATGGCTGTGTAGACTTTTTTATATGCACTGTATTCCTTGACCTGCTGATTATAATGAAACAGTCATCCAACAGCTTGACACACACCTGCAGAAGAGTGTAGGTGGTGCTAAACCCTTGACATGCCTTGTCTCCCTCGGCCTCAGAGCTTTATTGTGCTGGATATGAAAATGAAGAAAATGTAAATTTTGTCCTGCTGCTGTAGCTGCTTCCTCTGCTCTGCTTCTTCGTCAGGACTTTGGCTTCGGTCTCCTGAAAACTAACCGGTGAAGGTGAATGTTGTCGAATGTCACGTAGAGATAGAGAAGCCGGCTCTTTTCGTTTCTAAAGATGATGCTACGTTGATGTGGTGGGTGTGGGGCCCAGCGTCGCTGTGGTAGTTGTACCAAACACACATTTCCAACTCTGTCTGGATTATCGTAGTGAAACCTGCCTAATCAATGCAATCTTTTCTCTCTATCAGAGTACTGTTATTTTAGATGTTGACATGTGGAATGTAACCGTCCGAACTCGTTGCTGTTTGGACTTCTCTGCGTTTTTTACTGCTTTTTAGGAGACACCTGCATGACAGGTAGAGGCTTTAGGGACGAGTCGTGTCTTTTTTTGTCTTAGCACAGTCACAGTGGAAGAACTCCTGCTCTTGTTGAATCCTCTGAAAAACCCCATTGCCTGCATTTTTCCACGCAACTGTCATTTCACACTACTGCAAGCCTAGATGTCTCCAGCGACACATTCCATAATCCTTACGTGACACCGAGTACACATCGTTTCATTGCCTTTACGACAGAAGTTTCTATTTTAGTGAAATATATATTATACACATTTGATTGTTTGAATTGATTTTGGTGAGTGTGTACAGTGTGCATAGCGTTCCTGTTGGATTCAACTGTGTCTGTGTACGTGTGGTTGAAGGTTTTTGAACTATATTTTCCATGTTGATGATTTTCCCATGAAAAACCGACTCAAGACTAGAGTAATTCTGAACATATACATACAGTGTGTATATATATATATATATATATATATCTCCATGAGTGTCAAACTATTCTTCTGCCACAGAGTGTATTTGTTCAATATCTTTCTGCTGTCAATCTGCCAATAAACTATTTGCACATCTCTCTTGTCTCTCTTGTGAAGACTGCACCTGTGACAGCAGGAAGTACAGTCTGTGTTGTTGGGAAGCACAGAGGTTTCACTGGGTTCATTCATTATAATGTGCCCTTCAATTAGTTTATTACTAGATAAACATAACTACATACTTGGTGAGACATAATGGTGTTGTCTGTCAAAGACTGTCGTGTTTATGTTGCACAAAAATGTTTTTTTATATAAATGTTTTTTTCAAGTCTTTGTCGGTCAAGTCAATAAAAGTAAATAAGTAATTATAAGAACAAAGCAGCTAAGAACTAATGCATTAAAGAAGAAACTGTTTTGATACAAACTCAGTAGAATACTGATGGGGAATATTTGGATCTATGTTGGAACAGTGCTGGGATTTTTCTAAAATGATTATTACTTATTTAGGTTTTTTTTTTAAGTGGAAGAAATAGAATGTCTTATAAATGAGCTATTCATTCTGCTGCTAAATGCAGACAAACATAGTAGAGGAAGTTAAATAATTGTTTTGACCAACTTTAGTGCTGACCTTGCCCTGACAAAATTCAGATTTTTACCTGTCAAGCAGAAGGTCCAGGTTCAAATCCAGCAGGTCCCTAATTCCCAGTCCCATCTGGAAGTGTGTCAGGAAGGGCACCCTGCTACCACTGTGTGGACACCTGAAGAAATGCAAAAATGATGGGATTCACTAAGGGCAGTAATTTTGGTTGTATTTTTTATTACTTAAAACAATATTTCACATGCCGTGCAGCATGAAATATTGACTTGTATCACAGGTTGTTTGATGTCATTAAACCTTTAACATTCCGACGGATTATAAATAATAAAAAGAAGAAAAACAACAACAAAAGGCTCAGTGACTGTAGTAAATACATTTTATAATCAAACAAAAGAACCCTGAGAAGCAGTGAAGTTGAAAGATAAACACATTGTACTGTTCAAACTGCTTCGGGTCAATACTAAGAGAGAATTCTGACATTTTAGAGAGTGTTAAGTATGAGAAACTGATATGTTAAACCAGTTCTGAGGAGTGAGCCTTATCCATGAATGCCTGATGTTATTTCAAACATAACTGCCTGCAGGGCCACAGAGAGACATCTGGAAACAGTTTAACCCAAAATGAAACCCATTGCTAAGATTAATCTGGGTTCACAGAGATGGACCAGAGGTTATGGTACCGTATCAGCATCTGACCTGTGACCTGAGCTGAGCAGGCGTGTATTGTTGAGTTGAGTGGTTTTGTAACATTGCCGTGTCGAGGACGTTTAGTAGTCGTGTCAGTGCAGGCAGCTCATTGACCTGTGAGACCGCAGAAGAAGGAAGTAATCCTCCCACTGAACGCTGTGCTGTGGCTGAGAGTGTGAAGCTCAAAAGTCATATGCAGCTCCACTCCACGCCAGCCTGCAGTGGTGCTTGAAGGTAAGAGATTTGATTACATTTTCACCACCCAACACATGAACCGGAACTATTTTTTCAACTAAACATACATGATTGTGATACGTGATCTACTACTTGTTACTCCTTTGTTGATTTTGTCCAGGTAAAACATGGTTTATTTTTAAAAGCACATAATGAAAGTGTAGTACGTCTTTAGTAAAAATGTGGAGTTGGATTTATATGTTTTTGCGCAACGTAGCTTTAAATATTTCACACACTGGCTTAATGAACAAAACTTCAATCTATTTATTTTTGCCTGGTCTCCCAGGACTCCCAGATTTAAACCTATTACATACATAGTTAAACTTTTTTGCTGTTCTCGTGGATCACTTCCCTTATTTTGAATTTAGCTGAACTGAGCACTGCAGATAACCATTTTAAAAATGTAGTAGCATTGTTTTTACATTCTGCACGAAAAACAGCCCGAGGAGTGTGTTCTCTGCTCCATAACTAAACAGTACAAACTAGTTCACTCCCTCACACAAGCACTTCAAGTCCAACATTTAACACACTGAAATTAGGATTTGAAAATGGTCAATACAGAACAACCCCTGTGAATAACATTTCAGGTCAAGGTAAAGATAAATATCCATGACTACAGATATTATCGATAAAAGATTTAGACAGGACAACGAATAATAAAATCATATCCAAGTATTACAGGCTGGACAATAATAATTCATTCACTTCAGTGATCAGTGATACAGAGACCATGTGGGTGAAAACACATTTAATTACAACATGGTGATGTCAAAAATCTTTCCATCATCAAACAATTCTACCAGCAGCACACAGTGTCCAGAATTCCAGGAAGTCGCTATAAATCTATGTCTCCCACTGATGTGAGTTTAAATGCTGACATGCAGCACGGAATTCAACCTTTATTGGCCATTTAAAGGTCTAAAGGTGTATGTGAGTGACTGGAACCAAAGGTGACTCTTTGTTCCTACTTCATGGAAGGATGACCAAACAGGCTCATCTGTTTGCATGACTGTCAGATCAACAATATAGACCTTTCCAGCAAAGTACAGTTAGGAGTCTTGTGGTAATCTATGTACAAATTTAACCCAGGTTTCTATAGAGCATCATGTACACTACGGATGAGGAGGGCCCCATCATAGAGGCCCCTGATGTGACCAACGGGACAGAAAGGCAAAGAACATTAAAACAGTTTCCTCCGTATGGATCTGTGAATGGAAACTCAAAAGGAGACATCTGCCCCACGTGTCGAGGGAGCGGGAGGATTCCCAGAGGTCGGTGCTGACTTATGGATTCATTTAACAGTTTTAACAAAGAGGAATGAGGAAGAACCTAGTCAAAGTGAAAAACACATACACATCTGTGTACAACTTTCTCTTCTGCTTTGTGATGAAAACAAACCCGGACGGACGATTGAAGTTTTTATATGGTTTGTGTGTGTGTGTGTGTGTGTGTGTGTTGACAGGTCATGAGGACGAGCTAGTAGCAGTCATACCGTGTAACGACGTACGGCTGAAACCCAGACGCACGTGAGTGTCACATATACAGTAGTATTACATTGAATACTTTTGTGGAAAGATATTTACTTACAAATGTGCAGTTCCTGTAACTTGAGTCCAGTTTTTTCACTACAGTAAAGGATTACTATGAATGACTATGATTACTATGATGAAAATATTACAACACACAATTTTACTTCATTACTTCGTCTCATATGTCTATTAGTACACATGTACAATGCTGTGCATCTGTATATCTATCTGTGCATCTGTACATATAAATTCATGTTAAATGGTAAATTGTAGGGATCTCCGATAAAATTGGCTGACCGATAATATCAGCCTGATAATTGCATATTATCTAATATCTGTAAGAATCATCATTGTTTTTTCCTTTGATAATGAAAACCCGATGCCCTAAAAATAATTTTGGGGATAAATGGCTGTATATTAAAGTGAAAGTCACTAGATGACGGCCTTGCAGCTCATTTAATTAATCTCATACTAAATAAATAAATAAATATTACAAATAATATAACAGGCCAATATCGGTATTGGATGATATCGGAATCGGAAATTGGTCAGACATAACTGCCATATAGAATATTGGCAAAAAGTTGATATCGGACATCCTTTGTCATTTCTATTAATAAATCTCATCAACCAATCACAGAGCAGCAACTTGATAATTTAGTCTGAAAATAGAGTGAAGACAACTCAGTAAAGCTTGAAGGTTTGAAGAGAATTATCAAAAAAAAAAAAAAGAACCTCTGGTGAGCGGCAGAAAAAAACACCTGTGTTGAGGTTACATAAGAACAGCCAAGGCCATGGCTGAGCCTCATAAAGTCAACAGCAACTTCAGTAATTATGCAGAAGAGCATCTCTGTATGTACAACACGTCCAACCTTGAAGCAGATGGACTACAATGACAGAAAAAAACAAAACAGTACCAGTACCTGGTACCTGATAAGGTGGCCAGTGAATGAATGTACAGATATGACTTTTTATTACTGCTCACCACTGTGTATACCTGTGTACTGTGTGTGTCTTAATACTGTCTATACATACTGTGTTAAATACGGCTTTAAAGGTTTTTTTTTCCAACATTTATTTTATGAAAATCATGCTGTTGCTCTTTTTCACTAATTGTTTCACTTTATTTACTTTATTTAAGGCAGTGTTCTTTCTGGTTCTGTATTTCAGGAAGCTGTATGTGTCTTCCATTGTGGCCGTGTGTATCTGTTTGTGTATCTGCTGCCTCATCCTCTTTTTCCTCTTCCCTCGGAGTGTCTCCCTGACACCTGTCTCTGTTCTGTCAGTCATGGTCTACTTCACACCAGACACAGTGGACTTGGAGGTCACAGTGAGTATGAGGCCACTCTACAGTCACATGGAAGTCCTAATCAAATAGTTAACCTGACGTGACCGTGGGGACAGCTAATGGTGACTGTGTTATCAAAATATTTGACCTAGAAAAGTTCACATCCCTTTGGCGTCTTCTCATTTATCTGGTTTGTTTTATTGGATCAGGTTTTAAACTCTCAGAATCAAACAAACGTCAACATTTTAACCAAACTAAAATAGCCATCTGATATTTTTTAGGCTTTGCAACAGATTTTGGACTAGGTCCACCAGATTTTCTGGGTTTACAAAAATTTAAAGAAAATTTGAAAACAAACTAGATACCAGTCCCTGAAAAGTCCCCTTAAAAAGCAAATTGTGACCTGGGACATAGACGTCCCCCAGAATTATCTTAAGAAGTACATTTTTAAATAAAGATTGAATCTTTTTTGTTGACTTTCTGACTTACTCTCGTTACGTCCTGAACCCTGTAATGTCACACACTCTTGTCTTTTTATTGTACAATACTTTGAACTGTCCAGATTGCTTTCACATGACAGACTGTCGCCAGCAGCTGAAGTTACGTGAAGTTCAAGGTTCTTTGTAGTTTTTTTAACAATGTTTTTAATTTTTTTTTTTTTACAGAATCTCATCAACGTTACCAACAAGAACTTTGTCCCAGTTCAAATCATAGACTTCACTGTTCAGGGTCTGGTCACTGATATACTTCTTGGAAAGACCAAGATCTCTAATATGACTGGTATCCAACCTCGCACAGAGAACGCAGTAAGTGATTCTTTTTTAAAAAACAAACACTAAATTATATTATAATATTTAATGTTTTTTTTAAATTATTTTTTTCTTTTATTCTAGGGGTATAAAATACCAGCTAAACTGTCAATTTCAGATACAGGATTAAAGTAAGTATATTTTTTAGCAGTAGATTAATTTTTATAGACAAAAACTTAGTAACTTTAGGTTTGTATTCACACTTGAACTGAACTTTATTTCTTTTAGCTTCTACTGCAAGTCAAACTCCATAAAGATTCACACATTATTTCTGCAACTGCAGTAAGTGTCGGTCTGTATGAGTGAAGTTCAGAGGAAGTAAATGTTATTAATCTGAGAAAACACTGGTGTTAAAACTGCCGCAAACATTTAACAAACAACAAACTGAACCACATTTAATCTTTACAGGATATGTACATCTTTGTTGATGAGCTAAAGCTAAACACTGCAACACTTGGAGCTCAGCACAGTAACAGGAGTAAAGTTTTCATCGAGACATGGTTTTATTTAATGTTTTGTTTTAAGCAAAAGTTCAAGTACATTTCTGTCTCACATGTTTGTCCTCTCTTTTAACCCAGAATGACTATGAATATTTCCTACCTCTCCCACATGGAGCAAGTGTCTATGACTACCTTCGAGTACATTGACTGTGGCACCAACTCAACAACACCACGGCCCATAACATCTGCCCTGCGGTACATGGAGTCTTAAATCCATCACTGCAGCAGGTTTTTCATTCTTTTTTTCAGCCTTCCCAATAAATCTGTGAGATAATATCAGGAAACTGTGTTAAATGACAAGCATTTGTGTAATTACTCTGTATTTCCATGTAACGTCTGAATCATCTGCACTGTTTTGACTTCACAATGCATCTGTAATTTTTTTTTGTGTGCAAAGTTTGTGCCGTAAGCTTTGCTCAGAAGCACTTTATTAAACCCTGGCATTCAGTGTCAGGTATTTCTGGCTATTTAAAAAAGCAAAACAAAACTGATTTGCACATTTTGATTAAAATAAAGGAAATGTTTTGTATAATTGTTTAACATTGGTTTGCATTTCCTGTTTCCTCTGTCGCTGTTCTTCCTTGGCGGTATTTGCTGTATGCTTGTATTTAATGCTATTTTAAGCATTTTAGAATTAAGAATTTTAAGATTAAGAATTTAACCTAAAACCTCTATCATATATGATATAAAATGATATAGTTTTATATGGAAATATAATGTATGTATGTTATTATATGGAGTGAAATACTAACTGGATAAATTGGCCACATTTAATTCATTGTACCTACAGTATGTTGCACTTATTATTATACATATTGTAGTTAGGTTAAGGATAAGAAGGCCTCTGTCATTCTGATGAAAGACAAGAAAGACATTCTGTGACAAGAAATCAAACTGTGGAGCGCTCTCTAGTGGTACACGGGGGAAAGTCTGTTTTTAAAAGAAAACACTAGATGGAGCTAAGGCTTTCCTTTTTTTAACATTCTTGCACACAAACATTTTGGTGAAAATATGCCTAAAAAGATGTAGAGTGCACAGATACTGGGAAACCACTCTCTGCTGACAAATAAATTCGTTTAAATATTAAAACAGTTAAGAGTAACAAGAGTGACTTTAACTGAGAATGAACAGATTATTACCACTAGCAATATATTACTCGATCAAGAAACTACAAAAGTACCAAATATGTTTGAAACTATGTGTTTTTCACACACACAAAAAAAAACACCCCAAAAGAAAATAGTGAAGTTTAACAGTTCGATGCCCCTGTATGCCTGAATCCCTGCTCAGACCTACTTTACAGCAAGGGGCGTGGTTAAACCGTCCACGTGACTGTGACATCACTCGGGCTTTAGGTGCTGGGTTCTCCAGAGAGTATTGTGTGTTCGCCTCAGCTGCCGCTGCAGGAGCAGGAACCGACGTGAGAGACGGGCCAAGCAGCATTTGTGGACTATGGACGTGTTTATTTCGTGCGGATGGATCCTTGGTGGCAGATTTAAAGGTAGGAGTGTTGACAATGTGCAATAAAAGGAACACTTTGTATTTGCCTCCAGTACATGCAAATGCACCGAGTATAGTTAGAGTTAATATTACCATTGGTGCATCGGTAAAATATCTTAAAAGTTCATTAATTTATTCGAGGAAATAAACATGACAATATAATTTTACATTCGCATGGGTGACTTATATTAAGTAACTTGTGTTTTTTTAATTAAATCTATACAAATAGTAATACAATAGTAACGCATTCTTTTATGATGAATGCAGTCAGATTATGTCAGGGAGATGTGCAAACATGCAGCGGCTGATGTTGGATGGTGTCTGTCAACAACAGGATCAGTCCTGCTGCAGCAGTCTTCAGAGACAGTCTGCAGAGTGCAGCAGTAAATACACAGCCTTCAACATGATCTACCCGCAGCACTAAAAATCAATCCACCTCCTGCAAGAGCACCCTTCAGGTTTAGCAGTCTTAAGAGGATTAGCCTTGGCAAATACGACACTAGATAACTCCAGATACCCAATTAACTTTTGTCAGACGGTGTAATGTGGCACTGAAACCCCGTGGGATTTGTGATTAAATTGTGAATCAAGCACAAATTACCTGAAGAGAATAAACTATATAATCATTATACACACACATATATATATAGCGGACATTCTCCAATGTTACCAGTATATGGTAGTAATCTAATCTAACAGTACTGCCTTTTAAATGCAAAGAAAAGTTAGGCTAGGTTAAGTTCAGCTCCACCTTCGAAGACCAGAAATATACAGTTGTTCTAATCAAGTCATTGATGATTATGCAGATGCAGTTTTCACATATATAAAGTGACAATAGAATAGACATCTTAATCCCCTGGAAAATGTTTTGACCAGGTGACAGACAACCATTCAAAGAAAACAATTGTGTTTAAGGCTTAAAACAGCTCAGGGACTAGATCGGTTACAGTGTTTACTGCACCTCCGTCAGGGGAGATGGAAGTTCAAGTCTGTCAACAGTGAAAACACTTGGTGGAGTTAGACAGGGGAGTACTGAAACTCTCATGTCAAAGGAGTCACTGATTTGATAGGGTTAAATTAGATCAACTAGTCCAGAATGTGTTACTGGAAATGCTCACTATCTATTGTTAGCGTCTCCTGTATTAAAATAGCACACACCTTCCTTAAGTACCCATTGTGTTGTCATCAAATGTTAACCTGCTGTGTATGTGTGTTTTGATAAGGTCTCCACACCATCTAGACCCCAGTGCCTCTGAGGACAGGGAACAAATGCCACTCCTCTGAAAAAGGAAAAGGATTAAATCAGGAATTTGTCACCTCGTCTCACATCAACTGAGTAGGTGTGAATCATGGGTAACCAGCTGACTGACATGGCTCCTAACACACCCTTCCTGCCAAACTTTCAGTCCCTGCACGTGGTGGTTATTGGCCTGGACTTTGCTGGCAAAACCTCTCTGCTCTACAGGCTCAAATTGAAGGAGTTTGTCAAAACCATTCCCACCAAAGGCTTCAACACAGAGAAGATCAAGGTTGCGGTGGGGATGTCGCGGGCCATTAACTTCCAGGTGTGGGATGTGGGCGGGCAGGAGAAGCTGCGCCCTCTCTGGAAGTCTTACACCAGGCGAACAGATGGGATTGTATTTGTTGTTGACTCCACAGAGGTGGAGCGGATGGAGGAGGCCAAAGTGGAGCTCCATAAGATCACCCGGACCTCGGAGAACCAGGGGGTCCCCGTGCTCATCCTGGCCAACAAACAAGACTTGGATTCAGCCTCGTCTGTTGGCGAGGTGGAAAAGCTTCTCTCTGTCCATGAACTGAGCATGTACACGCTGTATCACGTGCAGAGCTGCAGTGCTGTGAACGGTCATGGACTCCAGCCAGGTCTGGAGAAACTGTATGAGATGATTATGAAGCGGAAGAAGATGGTGAAGCACAACAGAAACAGAAGAAGATGAACTCCTGGTTCATGCTGGGGACATCACCTCGGGAAATTTATCTTCTGTTGAGACGCTGCCAAGCTTAATGGTCCCTTTTAATGGGACGGCAGTTAGTGCCAACAAAACAACAATTACACACGGCCTTAGGGTCAGTGGGTATGGATTTGCTCATAATAACAGAAGCAGTATCGACGCATTCAATGCTCTGCAATTGTGCAGCTGCTCTTTGAAAAGTTAAGATACAGATTCAATGGAAACCCTCCCTATGAAGTACTTTTCTAAACATTTCTAATGGACACTTTTTTGTGAAGCACTGGACTAGTGTATGCACACAGTAAAAGTCTATTTCATGACGAAAAAGTAGAACTAGAGCAAAACTATGAGTGACCTTCACATTGTATTCTACACAGCAGTTGGTTGTTTGTTTTACAGAGTATGCAATATTTATTCCACATTTCTGTGTTTGCACTAGACAGAGAGGACTTTCTTTGAAAGGACATGAAAGTAAGAATTTAGCTGTGACGCAACGTAGAATCATGAGTTCTAATGGCTATGAAACACTAATCCTAAATGCCTTCCCTTCATGACCAGAGAACATGTTCCATTTACTATAGTGTTTTTACAAATTGTACAAAATCTAATAAATCAAAACACTGAACAAAACACGTTTTCTTTTATTATCCTGTATTTTCTTCTTTCCATTTCGCTGGTCTAAGCTTACATCACACAGTGTGGTAACTGCTAATTGTGATTGTCACCAACCAACTATGCTAATTGCATTTTGACAAAACATATACAGGAAGCTTCTCTGTGTGGTAATGGTGTTATGTATGAGAGGGGACACATGGACACAGTGTGACCCTACAGCCTGCCTGAAACACTGGGCTGAGTGCAGTAATGGACTGAATCTCCCATAAAAGCCAAAGCTAGTCAACTTCCAGAAGCAGTATCTGGACATGGAGACAGGCTGACAAAGGTATGGACATGTGGACAATGGATGTAGGTGACTGAGCTGCCAGCAGGTTTATGGAGGATGTGTAGGAGAACATGGATCCTCCAAAGGAAGCAGGCTAAAAATGTTTTGAAGTGACCCCTCCCCACCCAAAACGTGAAGCTCTCCTGTGACCTTTTGTCTAATTCATGGAAATTTAGCAAAGGAGACAGGAGGGTGTTACACTCCTCCCCCAAAGAAGTCAAATCAATCCATAAGCTTTGACTGTGGTGTTTCTACCTCAGCAGCTGCTGACAGTGTAATTGCTTTAATTATTCGTCCAGAGGTTGGGCCGTTTAGTCCTGCTGTGTGATAAAGCAGGACTAAACCACCTGAGGCCATTATCTGCAGATGCTCTGACCTTTTATATACTTATATACCTGTTGTTCTCAAAACTATTTTTGCAAGTAATTGTGACAGTTTCTGTAACAATTGATTCTATGGTTACAGAAACACAAAGGCACATTTTCTGACAACATAGCCTTAAATTGAAATTTCTCTGCATGTATGATGGCAGCTGAAACATAAACAAACCCAGTGTGACGTCCCCATCTCCTGCTGACTGTAATGTCACATGCAAACACATTATCATACTCAACAGTGTTTCAGGTATAACAGCACCATGGTGGGTCGGCGACAGATGGGAGTTCTGCACGAAAATCACAGCGATCAAAGAGGGAGGAAATTAGCGTTTGCTCCCAGGTGTCATGTCGACATGCTGATTAGAGACTGAGCTGATAAATATGACTAAGAGAGGGCAGACTGAAGTATCAAGGAATGGAATGCTGATGATAAAAGGTCTTTCCATGTGTAGTAGGAGAGACTCTGCCGTTAGATATCTAACAGGGGACACAAACCGGCACCGACACCCTGAGTCCTCTGACCTCTGCGTCCCCATTATTCACTATGGCGAGCTCATTAAAAACTTTCAAGGATATCTTTTGCAGAATCATCTTGACACAGCATCTGGTCCCTGAATAAATTACCATTGCGATGTGGTGTTTTCAACAGCTGAGATGCACCGTGGGCATGTGGTGAAATCAATCAGGCAGAGAAAAATACATAAACATTCTATTCTACCACACAGAGCTATTCTCCTCAGAACAGCAGCATACGACAGGGCTACAGCACAGTTACTGATCAGGAACTGAGGTGCAGTTTTACACATCTTTGCTGTTCTTTCACCTATTTTAGGAGCTGCCTGTTACTCCACCTGTCTAACCCCCAGTTTACCAGGCTGTAATGGTGGCTGACAGCCAGCCCTCAGGAGAGAGAGGCCTTAGGGACAATGTGTCAGGGCTTAGATGGAAGCAGTCCTACATATGGACAGGTGTATCCCTGGAATCCTGGGACATAAATCAGTGACAGGCTCACCTCTGGGCTTTAACATCACCGATTCCCATCACTCATCTAAAGGACACAAACAATTACTGATGTCAACTCCACTCTGCTCACAGAACAAAATACAATGACAGCAAAAATAGTATAACAATTTGCAAAAAACAAACAACTGTACACTGTTTAAAATGATTAGTAGGCTACTGGTATCAGTTATTCTTGTGCTCAACACAGTAAATGGATGGAGTCACTTAGGCAAAGAAACAAGTGACTTCAGGAGGGTGACTACAACCAACTGTGCTTTAAAGATCCTGGTATGGTGCACAGCTAAGTAAAACACACAGTGATGACACCTCGTTAAAAAGCTGCAGTGATTTCATACTGACATTAGTGTGGGAAAAGTCACTTTGAATTTAAACAGTCGTACAATCCAGTACAGAATGAGAAAGCCCTGGAAGCACATAATGCTAACAACAACAACAACAACAACAACAACAACGTAGTATCATCATGTGAAATCCTGATAGAATTATAACAACTTAGTGATGATGATGTAAAGCAATGGTTTTCTGGCCTTAAATGTGAGCCTTTCAACATGGACTACACATCATGTTGTCAAGGCAACCAGAAGTCAGCAGTCACTAAAGGATGACCTGTAAGGGCATCAGTGGGGGTCAAATTGCTTTTTGTGATTAGATGTCAAATCCAGCTGAGGTTACGGAGGGGGCAGGAGGATTAGAGAAAGAAGACCAAATCAATACTGAAACCCTGGGATCAACTCCTCGTTCTTTTACCTGTCTTCTTTTTTTTTCTTTTTTTCTATATATTATTTGTAAATCTTTTTCTGATCAGTCACTCTTTGCTTTAAGGTTGTGTGTAGCTACTGAATTTCACCTTTTACTGTCTATGGTTTTAGTGACACTGATGCTACTCGCAAGGAATCTCAAATGTCGCAGCATCAATACAAGAAACTGATCTTGTTAACCTTGCTGTACACGCAGAGA